TAACTGATCGACAACATGCCCGATTCTGCCCCTCCGGAATAATGGAATATCCATGCATAATTCACACGTTCGGCACACACACACACTATTCGACTGAGAACATTTGTAAATTGCGGACCAGATTGGCCGGTGTACGTAGCGGTGTATTTCGGTAAGTAATAATATTCACTCGTATTACGTGTAACGAGTACTTCATATAAGTATAATAACTCATTAGTATGTAACGTTCCTCGTAAACCGCTCGATTATTTGGGGTCGAGAGCCATTATGTTACAGCTAGCACTGACCCTTCCGCCATTGCGAGACTCTAACTAAGTCTTGTTGTTAGATTTTTTTCGCACATTCAGACCATCCATGTTGCTGTAATTCGCACATATCACGCTCAACGAGCAGATATTTACCCCCGTCACTAACTCAGACAGTTATCGACGTTCTTCTTAACTGGAATCCGCTATTTGTTATCTCCACATATCGGCGGTCTATTTATAGAACTCATGGCTGCTTTTCTTTTAGTATTTCCTTCACGCTCGGTGCGTTGTACAGTACAGTAGTTGTATGTACTAAACCACCTCCGACATGAAAGACACGCCCGTTTTTTTTCTGATTTGTTCTTCATGCAATTTGTGTTGTTTGACCTTTCTATGATTGCATGTTTCAACGTCTCGATGAACCAATAAGTATACAATTTGAAATGTTGCTTGCTGTCCTGCAATATTTACATACGTGCCATATATTTATTGCATGCTTTTTCCTTGTTGTAATTGACCATCTTTGAAAACTATTTAAATTCGATTTAAACGTATTCATTTTCAATTAAATAAGATATAACGAAGTATAGAAACTATTTGAATAGTGTAGTCAAGAATTCCGCCATTTTCTCCCTTCCCCTGTGTATAGTCTCCTATTTCGGCTGTAACCATGGCGACAATTTGTACCGGTTAGTGCGACTCGGTCCGTCAACAGTATATTTAAAATGGTCGTCTTGTTTTGTCCGTTCACTGTTTGTTGAGTACACGTTGTATCATAAAACCTAGCCTGGAAACTTTGCCTTATTGCGAGTAATTTACTCGGGAATTGCTGTTATTGGGATTGTTGAACATTGTATTATTCTGATCCGGTCCCTGCCGGCTGAGAAATGTTGCCATGTTATGAGACTTGCGTCATACTAGTAGTTTATTCCTATTGTGGTTAATCGCCGTCCTTTGTTCTAAATTCTTTTGTAGTTGTAGGGTGTTGCTTTTTACACAAAGACTATCGACTGGGATGTACTGACATTCAATTGATCGCTTTCGGTGCCTCGCAACCACCAAAACACCGACATGAAACAGTCAACGAACTCACGTTGTTTGTTTGTTATTGATTACTCATATATCACTCACCTATAATTATGTAGATTCATTAGAAATATTTACGCAATATTATGCAAATAAATGAACACGACGTTGCGCTTCCATGGCAACGAGCAAGCTTAATGATAGAAAATGCGATCAAAGTGCAAAACCGTTATCATAATCCTGTATAAGAATGCAAATTATTATAGTAAATAATAGAATCATAACGCTACCCTTAAATACTTAATTTATGATTATATACTTCGCGTAGTTCACATGGTAATAACACGTCTATTTACAATGTAAATAATCGTACATTTTGATATGGTGAGTTTTAAATTATTAAAAGGTGACGTGACGTTTCAGATTTTGATGAACATACAAGTTTTTATGTCGAAAACGAACGTTTATTAGTGTCTGTTCCCGGAGATTACTGGTATTCGGTTTCTGAAATAAATTCTATTTTACAAATATTGGCAGCATTGTATGTCCTAAGCCACCTGTTAAATGTAAATATTTTTGAATCGGCCAATTTCCAGAATCATTACAGGTGGTTGTATTATGTAACCGTATTTCATGAATACTATTGCACAATGAACAAGAATTCCGTGCGTGTTAACAACATACATGGCGTCTCAATGGTACCGTAGGGTTAATCCTCTTAGAAATACTCGAATCAGGAAACATGGTTGCATATAGTTGTACAGTATCCACCATTACACATTTGCCAAATAGCACGTTTCTCGCGTAACAGTCACGTGACCGCGTTAACCATGACGTCGCCATACAGCAATGTATCAATGTCGCATTTAGATAAAAATGCCTCCTTATCCCTGCCAGTGAAAGCAGATGCTTGGATACTCCCTAATATGCGTAGGACATCATCATCGCTAGAGGCACCAATCACATTGATAATCATCTAGTCAATTTGTAAAATAATTGGAGAAAGGTTAGGTTCGAAATGTCACGGGTTCCGAACATAACAACTCTGTGTATGACCTTTCCATACATTTGTTATCGATCATAAACACTGTTTTCACACCACACCCAGCATGTTAATTAAGCATACATCTCGCCAAAAAACTATATAATATCAATCACTATGACATTGTTTTGTGACACTAAATATTGCCAAACAAATCTTCAAATCATAAGTATATTTTCTTTCTGTATTTTTTTAATCATTCACGGGTTTTAATTTGCTGATTTTTGCTAACAAGTAAAATCTATATGTATAATACCATAACTCACTGTTTCCCGTGCTTCATTCATGAACTTACAATCCAATGAATATGCTCGAAACAATTAACGACATGTATTGAAATTAAATGCCACTGAAAACAAATGGTTTTATATTATATTTCCATGAGAAAAAAAACGTGCGACAGTTTAAAAAATATTATTTATGGATTTGATTTCACCGATAATTATTTTTATTAAAAAGTATTGTCGAATATTTTAGCCAGCGACAAGGTCAATTAATATTGATTACTTAATAACTTGTATAATGTGAATCGTATTATCTAAGTGATAGTTTTGGGTGGGGATCGGGAGCTTGATATGAATTTGTGTAGGTAACAGTGTTTATATACGTTTTCGTATTTGACCTGCAATTCGAATTTCACTCTTAGTGTCAATACATTACAGGTCTCGGGGGCACACATCTAAACCGTTGCAACATACATGTGTCAAGATCTTCAATTAATTAGCTCACTCATTTACTTGCTGGGCTTTGACAAATCCCCTGGGATTGTTTCCTTGGTTAAAAGAAAATGGGAATGTACGACATATCTCATAGGAATTAATTTAAAATTATAATTATTTAAACGCGCTAAATTTTCATTTAAGAAAATGTTTTAACGAAAAAGTCATTATCGAGCGAGGTTGGGTACCCAAGTTTTTAGGCGAGTAGCCTCGCGATACAATTACACGTATTGTACAGGGATATGTGTGACATAATCATAATATATTTCGTTGTACAAAGTTATTTAGTTAACTTGAACTCGGTTAGATCCTAAATTAAATGTCAATCTCTGAAATGTTTAAGCAATATTACGTAGTATTTAGAGATAAAAAAAATAATTGCACCACAAAAAAATGTAAATGTGTGTTTTCCATACCATTTCGAACACTTGTTTCTCAAAAAAATTTCCACTCAACATTTTTTTTTCAATTTTCTGTAATCGAATAGCATTAACTTGTAGTAATGAAAAGACAAATAAGATGTGTACTCTTTAATTCGGCCCGTCTGCTCTCAAGGACCGATTCAAAATCCGGGTTCAATCGCAAGTCACGTGATGTACGAGGTATTTGCGTGACATTTGACTTCTGATTCGCAAGTACAATAACATTTACTTCTATGCCAGCCATAAAGATCCTTTGCTCGAAACGTCTAGCTATTACGATATAGTGTTATTTGCATTATTAACAATGTAATTGTTTTTAAATGTAAAATATTTCATTCTTACTCGAATCCCTTGAACCCCGATTGTAGTGTAAAAGGTGTATGCGTTAGGTTAGGTTAGGTTAGGTTAAGTCTGACCTACCATTTAGTTCAAACATTGACGACATTTTATTCCACCGTCCCCAAAATGCCCCGGGCTTGGATGACCCAATTGATACACGCTGTGACTATAAACTTATTTATTATTATGCTTCTTTTACAGAGAAGGCATTAAGTTAAATGCCACACAGTGCATGAGCACTAGTTATTTTGCAGCTCGATGAAAAGCATATCATTGGCCCATTAATTTTATTAGACATATTTCAGAAAAAGTCTAACGGTTCCATATTTCGAATTCTAGGTACTTGATGATGAACATGGTGAAATTGTCTTGACGATCTTGAATACGGGACGGGCTAGAGAGAAGCATAGACCGCGCGCTGATTTATTTGTGACTCTGGTAAACAATCAGAATGAGGAAAATGCATAAAAGGAAAGTCCGTGCCCGCAGGAAACATCTATTCTGGATCGTGACTGCCTGTTTCTTTTGCCTCACTACCATCCTGTTATTAAACTTGTACGTGTATTCGAGACCGACACATATTACTAATGAACACAACATCATTAAGTTTGGGGAACCTGTACAGTCACTTTCAGTAATTGTAAAAGTTATACAGAACTATGTGAAGCATCCGCTGGGTTTTAGTGACACGAACAGCACTAATCCAAAAAAGATCAAGCTACAAAAGCGAATGGCCAGACTTGTCTCAAAGTTACGAACATGGCAGCCAAATAACACGAGAGTGGTAGAATTAATGAATGATCTAAACAGTTACATGAATGACACCCATTTTATTTCTACAAAAGAAAATACCCCTGTCGGGCAACCTTATTTTGATACCATGTTCAACAAATCCGTGATTATTGATGAGAAGAAGCGACAGTTACTGCCAAATAAATCCCCCTTTTCGAACAAGAAATTTAAATCATGTGCAGTTGTTGGCAATGGTGGAATACTCCGCAACAGTGGTTGTGGCAAGGAGATTGACAGTTACGATTTTGTAATACGATCAAACCTACAACAACTATCTGGGTTTACGTACGATGCAGGGAGTAAAGTAAACCTGACTTCAATATCACAGTCGTTGCTGAATAATTACCGATTTGACGGCAGTTACAAATTTGTGTTAAATTTTACCAACGTAAACATGACTAAATTACTAGCTTCCCTGGAGGAGTACGATGGCTCTCTTCTATGGATTCCAAATAGCAAAGTCAGCAATTTAGCTTTTGAAATGGTACAGCTCATACATGACACAACCACCCTAAAAACCTTTTTGTACAACCCAGAACACTCTGCACAAATTCAGCGGTATTGGAACTTGACTCAGCGAAGCATATCGACGGGAATGACTCTGACAAGCGTAGGGCTTTCTCTCTGCGAAGAAGTTCATCTCTACGGTTTCTGGCCGTTCACCTTTGACTACAAAGGTACCAACCTACCTATGCACTATACGGAGAACTTGCTGTGGTCTACTTACAAAAAATACCACGATTTTCCATCAGAGTTTGTGCGGCTCATTAAGCTACATTACCAAGGTGTACTGCGGCTACACGTAGATGACTGTCGCAAGCCGGACAGTGTCGAGAGCGATGATGATCTCTTCTTCTTTAATAATGACACTCAAAAGCTGCTCCTCAGCCTTGGAATCAACGACACAAAGAAATTGTGGTCAAATGAGGGCGCTCAGCAGTGGCGTAAGCCCATGTCAGTATTAGATTACACAGAGAGTTGATGTCGCTGCTTATATAGCTATGCGAGTAACAGTGCATACAAGTGTGGAATTTCGAACAACAATAGGATGGATGGATGTATGTGCGTACATGTATCGTTTTATTTGTTTAGTGAGTTTTCATATTGTCAAAATTGCCCACACGAAATCTGAACATAGTCTGAACCAATTGTTTTAAACATTTTATTATAATTGTCACACAACTCAGGTGGAATGTTTTACCTCAAATGCTCGAACAAAGTTATATCGAATATGTCTCCCCCCATATTTTGGCCAATCTGACAAATTCTGGAGATTCTTGTCAATTAAAAGAACGAAAACAATGTGCTGCTTCAAGTATAAAAACGTAGTAATGAGAGAAAAGCCGATGTACCGACTAGAATGTACAAAACGCATTTCAACAGAGTAATGTCATTTAGAAGATTTTGCATCGAAGTTTTAGAACTGCCACTTGTTTGTCAAAATTATATTCGCCGTAGTTTTTTTTAGAATACATTTCTTTGTTTCAGTGTAGTCGAATTCCCGAGTGGCTCACAACTCAGAGTGACAGTGACGGAAAAAGCTGACCACTGATTCAAATTCAAGTTTCACTCCGCCGAGTTTACGATATTTCAAATTGAACAAAGTTTAGGCAAATTCCCGACAGAAACGAACTCGGAATGACGGAATATGCGGCCTAAAATTTATTTGTCAGTTGAACTTGGCCTTCAGTAATGAATCTAGTATGCAGAGGTCACTAATCTTTTAGTTTTATCGGATTTGGCTAGTGCACTATTAATCTGCCAATTGGAATAAAAAATGGCTACCGGGAATTTTAATTTGTTCAGGCATAAGTAATTCCAGAGTGTCTCTAAAAACTAGAGTTTGATGACGGAATACATGTACTACAAATTTGATTCCCGCAAATGCCAAAACTGCCAATAAAGGTTTTTTTAATGTGCCCTGTACAATTTAAATTAGTTAAGGTAATACCAGATATACCAGAGTGTCTTTCAAGCAAAGATGCAGTGACGGAATTCTTTGACTTTCAAGTCCTTGAATATAAACCAATTGCCTGACAGAACCAAGGAGCGTAATGTTTATTTTGTCGAATTCCCGAATGTTTTAAGCGAAAATGTGATGACGGAAACGACTTGACTAGTTTAACTTATGTAGGCTTTATTTTAGTTCAAGATTGTTTTAATATTACATTTTGTATACATTTGTATTTTCTGTAATTTGTAAGAAAAAATAATAAATTTTAAACCAAATGTCTTTCTCCAAATTTATTATCGATTCATTCCAGTGCATCATTGCCCATCGTCTTCCCAGTCTGTATAGCCATTTATTACTAATTACCTCATTCATCTTATTTTCGTCCCGTTATGCCGAATGAGGGGGTGGGTCAATAGTGTTGCTAGGCACCTTGGCAGTGCCCTCCATTTTTCATAAACTTTAATTTCGAGATGATCAGATCAGTTTATAGTCTGATCCAGGGGAATTGCGAGGTTGTGTATTGCGGAATTCGGTTGATTACATGAAAGTTGGTTGCTATAAGCATTGAAGGAAAAGTTTCATTCGAAATCAACAAACAATGTTTAGTAGACTAGACAGATGCATATTTTCTTGCACTGTAAAACTGAAAATATAACTTAAAATGGATGTAAATACCGATACACTTATCGGAAATATAACTAGCCGAACTTGATGTCGATTTAGGATTCTGCTTACAAATAATTTAGCCAATCATAGTACGTTAATTTTAGCTAATAAAACAACCTCATTAATAGTTATTTACCTATCAGCTCGTCTCCCTATTACCCAATCATGTACAAGGCCAAAGTCACTTTCCGCCAAAATGCAAGGAATGTAAACTTGTGTGTATATAAGTGGGTGCTTTGACACATCACGGCAGGAGTTTAAATAAAGTCATCTGTTATAGTGTACATCAGTTCGTCTCTTGTTATCCACCCCTGAACCTTATCTTAACAATTACACACATTGTTTTGGTGCCGAGACCAGGATTCAAGATGACCGAACGACCAACTAACTCTTTCCAAACTGAAGGGAACTCGCTCAGCGCATCGTGGACAGATGACGAAGCTCCTGAAAAAGGCTGACGAAAACGTCAACGTTTTCCCCCAAGACAACATCGAAGGTGCGTTAGACTCACTCACTGCTATCCATAACTTGATCTCATCGACGTACGAAAGTCTTATCAACCTCGCTAAACAAATAGTCGAACAGACGGAAGAAAACGACTTGGAGGCGACTGTCACCGAATCTGACGATTACCTGACCGATATATACGAGAAAAATCATATTTTATCTCGATTTATCGAAAGAAGTCGCGAGCTGATACAAGCCCACCGGCAAGCCCTGCAGTCCCCGCTGCTGCATCAACCAGTCCAGCAGTCACCATTGCCGCTCCCTCCACCCAACCTAACAGAACCATAAACCTACCAAAGTTATCGCTGCCAACATTCAACGGAGATGTTCTGAAATGGGTGAGTTTTCGAGATGCATTTTATTCCGCAGTTCACAACAATCCCAATCTCGAAAAGATTCAAAGGTTTCAGTACCTACACGCTCAATTGTCCGACGAAGCCGCTCACACTATTGAAGGATTGACACTAACAAATGAAAACTATGATCACGCAATCGACCTACTTGAACAAAGGTATGGACAGAAACACAAAGTAATAAGTGCCTACATGAAAGCTTTATGGGATATGCCTAAACCATCTGGCGATTTCAACAGCTTACGTTTTTACGAAACTTTTACGACACCTTAAAAAGTTATATTCGTGGGCTCAGTTCGCTCGGAAAATCTGAAGAATCGTATGGCGATCTGCTTGTACCTATCGTCATGGAAAAGTTGCCGCCAAATACACGAAAACAGAATTGCGCGGGATCATGGAAATAACGAATGGAATATACCCGAACTTCGTCAAGCCATCCATAACGAGATGGACGCTCTACAAGCTGGATTCTCCGCCGATCTTCATGACCGCGAATTGTACACAGAAACCCCGGTAACTGAGGCA